AGTTAAAACACAGTCAGATTCTAAACAAGGTCACACACCTAAAATGTATTATCTGACCTGAGTATACTGATATACTGGTATACTGATAAAACTACCAACAAACTTAAAAGCGATACCTTTGGTCCCTTCATTCAAGTTATTCATATAAATTGTAAAACAGTTGAGGTCCCAGCAACTGATCCCTGTAGCACATCACCTGTTACATCTTGTCAATCTGAGACATTTACCATGACTTAAAGGATTCCAGTTGTTAAAAGATTAATATAATTTGGAGGATGTATTTAGCACAAACACATCAATATTTCAGGAGTACAGAGTCTTGGTAAATTTAACCGTTATCATTACAAAATTGTCACCACCCTGATCATAGTACCTAGAACAAAAGGAATATATATTTTGCATTTATAATTGGTATATAAAAACTTTACAAGTGCAATTTCTATTCAAAATGTAGTTAAATGAATTATTAATAGGAAACTTTGACATAAGACTGAAAAAACATTAATTTCAGCCACCCAACGCCTTTTGCTTTCTTGCAGTGACTACTTGACTGACTAAGCCTCAATTATTGTGGGAAAGAAGAAAATGGACTATTCTGACTGGAACCAAGCCATCTGTCACATTAGAAAATAGGCATTAACTGTTAAGCCTTGTGGATAAGAAAGTAAGGGATCTAGTCCAGGTCTGAGGCCCCTACTATAAAATGGCTCATCCAGACTTAAGCAACAATAGAAAAAACAGATTTCAGAGAGCTTGTCATTAACAGGTAAACTTTTGAAATAAACTGAAGCTATGAATCAGGGTGGAGCAGCAGTGCTCATCCCAAACAAATACTTGAAGAACATGATGCTGCTGCTGCTCCTTCCCACCCCTTATAGCCACTGCTCCATAACGATCAGTGTTTGTCCAACTGTGCACAAACAATGCTGTCTGAGGATCACAGATGTAAGCCCCAAAGATTAGGAAATAAGATCAATGTGGGTAAGATTGGGAACAGTAAGGATCAGAAGGCACTGGTGGGAATAGTTTACAAGGCTCCTTACTAGTAGTTATATCATTGGGAGGAACATTACGTGAAAAATAACTGCAGTTTTTAGAAGCCGATGTAATAATCATAGGGTACTTCAAACTTCATATAGACTGAACAAATCAAATTGACAAAGGCAGTATTAAACAATAATAAACAGAATCAGGAGTCGGCTGTTCAGCCCCTTGAGCTTGCTCTGCCATTCAATGGCATCATGGCTGATCCAACATTCCTAACATCCACAGTACAGCCCTTTCCCTAAAACCGTCGATTCCCCTACTGTTCAAAAGCCTATCTTAGCCTTAAATATACATTGAGTCACTGTCTTCACAGCTGTCTGTAGCAAGGAGTTGCAAAGACTCACAATCCTCTGAGAGAAGAAATCCCTCCTCATCTGTCTTAAATTGGAGCCGTTTAAATCTGAGACAATGCCCTGTGGTTCTAGATTCTCCCGTGAGGGGTAACACTCCTCTCTACATCAAGCCCCTTAAGAATGCCAAATGCTTCAAAGAGGAGAATGAGTTGCCTGGAAGATGAGTATAAAATGCATTTGTGACAGTTGCATGGAGCAATACATTATGGAACCAACATGAGATGAAGCTATTTAAAATCTAGTGTTCCGTAATGACTGGTTTTAATTAACAAATTTGTAGTAAGAACATAAAATATAGGAACAAAAGTAGGCCATTCAGTCTATCGAGTCTGCCCTGCCAATCAAAGAGATCATGGCTGATCTGTTAATCCTCAGCTTCACATACCAGCCTTTTCCTCATAACCTTTGATTCCCTTAAGGAGTGAAAATCCATCACAGCCTTGATTATATGTAATGAACCAGCTGTGACAGCCTGTGTGCGGTAAAGCGCACACACACACACACACACACACACACACACACACACACACACACACACACACACACACGTGACCTCTTCCTCTGAGGTTAAGCCAACCTCTCAGCATCTACCATGTCGAGACGCCTGAGAATCCTACGTTCAATAAGGTCACCTCTCATTCTTTGAAACTCCAATGAGTTCAGGCCCAAGTTACTCAACCTCTCCTGAAAAGAGTTTCCTTCCATGCCTGGTATCAGCCCAGTGAGCCTTCTCTGAATTGTCTCCAATGCCAATATATCTTTCCCTAGATAAGGGGCCCAAAACTGTTCACAATATTCCAGCTGTGGTCTGACTGGTGTATTGTTTAGTTTCACAAAGACCTCTCAATTTTTATACTCCATTTTCTTTGAAATAAAGGCCAACATTCCATTTGCCTTCCTTGTTACCTGGTGAACCTGCATATGTTTCTTTTGTTATTTATGAAGGAGGACTCCCAAATCCCTCTATGCTGCAGCTTTCTGCAGTCCTTCACTATTTAATTTTCAGGTCCTCTATTTTTCCTGTCAAATTGCAAAACCTCACATTTGTCCACGTTATATTCCACCTGTCAAGTCTTTGCCTACTCACATAACCTGTCTATATCCCTTTACAAACTGTGTCATCCTCAGCACTTTCTATTTTTGTGTTATCTGCACATTTAGCTACAATACATTCATTTCCCTCATCCAAGTAATAAATATACATTGTGAATACTTGTATTACTAACACAGATTCCTATAGAATTCCACTAATTCCAGTTTGTGATCCTGAAAATGCCCTTATCACAACTTTGTCTTCTTTTCAATGACCACTTCTCTATCCATGTGTTGTTGTCCATGGCTGAATATGACAAAATGGCTATTAGGGGTTTTCTTTTTATCAAACATAGAAGATCAAAGGAAATTTTAGCTGATGTAGCACTTCATGTAGCTCAATTCATTGCTTTCACAGACAGACAACAAAATGCCTCTCAGTCTTAATAAGATTGGGCTATAATGCAAACAATAAGACTGATAGGGCAGCTCAGATGAAAACCATCTGATTTGAGATTTCCAACTTTTTTATGAAATAGAAAAGAAAAGCTTGACCTACCCGAGATGAGGATTTTTAAGTAATTACATATTAGACATGTATTTGCACAAGAATAGAAGTTTAAACTTATTAGATATTGGCGAATTAAATTTCTGAAGGCAGTTAGCCTTGGTTGCAAAGATACCCTTGAAGAAACTTTTTTATCCACCCGCAAGAAGATGAGAACAACAAAAACGTATAAACAAGATAACCTCCTAAGAGTACCAAGAGACAAATGAGGTAGCAGGGTTGGGGGGCACAGACAATTTTGAAACAAGGCACTATAACCTCAACAGAAAAAGCAACTGCTGCTTTACAAGTCGGATAAGAAGGAAGCTGTTTCCGAAATTATTAACTCTGTCACAGAATCTTAGTGTTAGGTTTAATTATGTATAACTTTATAGTAACTTTACATTAGAGCTGATATTACAATTATAACAATTGATAGAAATTAACATCCCTTTCCAACTTCTGTCCTAAGACCTGCAAGAGGTGTGAACTGCATGACCGAATTTGAAGAAGTCATTAGCAATAAGCAAATATACGATGCAGCTGACAAATGACTAGGAAGGGACGTAACAATTGGTGTCGGAATGTGGTTAATAATCATAAGAGCCCAAGAACAGGTGACAGGGGGTCTGGCAAACATCATGAGATGATGGGAGAACCTAAGGTGGACCATGGGGTTGTCCAACATTGATTACACATTCACAGGACTGATGTGTAGATCAGAGGGGATGTCGCAAGCGCTAATGTCAATGTTGCATGTAACCATTGTAATGCAATATGTATAAATATCCTGCACTTTATTGGAAAAGGTAGAGTGCCACTCAACTCCAACCTGAGCTGTAATTGACAGTGCAACTGGGCCCCACACAAAGCCAGATTCTCAGCCTCTGGCCTCTCCCCTGTGTGGTAAAGGAGCTCTAAATAAAGATTGATTTGTGTACTGAACACAGGACTTGGACTCCTCTGTAAAATTCAATATGGGGCACAGACAAGTATGCATGCAAGATAAAGGGTCACGGCATTGAGGATTGGGGAAGTTAGCCTCGTAGAGTCTTGAAACCAGGAGCTATTATGGTATATTGTTCATTTTTTTAAAAGATTGTTCATATTTAGGGCTAATAGTTTTCTTCAAGACACCATCAGGGACTTAAAGCAGGCATCAGACTCTTTGGGTACATTTTTTGGATGGTGAGGGTTTCCTATGTCACCTCTTGTTCATAGCAACCCTGCAGCTATTTAACACTCCAAGGTATTAATGGTTGGAGATGGGAGTACTAAACCCCACTTGTGTGGAGAACCTGCCTTGGAGAGCTACCAGACAATCTGACTGTCCCGCAGCTCAGTTGGTCAGAAGTAGTAGTGCTGAGGACTGGGATTACAAGTAGTCCTCAAATTTTCAGCCCTGGAGTCCAGCACCAAGTGACTGTGGGGGATTTTACAAACAGTGAATGGGTCAGGGTGGAGATGATGGGGATCTTCATAAAGTGGTAGCAGGAAGGGTGGGATGGGAAGAAGCATTTGTGAGAAACAGATCTGCCTACAAACCCACCAGCATGAAATCGTAAAATTCTGTCATTCATAGCATATGTAAATGCTCTAAAGCCCACTTCAGGCACCAGCAAAGGACACTTCTCTTGTCCTTACCTAGTGGCCTTGGCTTTCACATTGGATATGTGTCCACATCTCTTGCCTGTCTTTTTTGGCACTTGAAAAGGATTGCTACTATCTGAAAAATGAAATTTAACCTGTATTTTCTGTCCCCATCTCTGTAATTGAATTCTATTAAATTTCTAAGTCAAAATTTTTAATGGGAACTGCCGATAACACAATATATCGTTGTATCATTATATTTCATCATTGTTGTGACACTATGGAACCACATTAGTAGAAGGTATAATTACTACGGGAGAAATTTACAATGGACTGGATCCAGTGACAATGTGGTAAAGAAATTTCTACATTAAAAAGCAAACAGGTGGATGCCCAAAACTATCAAAAAACAAAGCTGCAAAATTACTTACCACTGCCTTGCTTGAGCTTTCTTGTAAATCCCAAAGAAGAATATAATTATCAGTCAGTGATGCTATCTTTGTACCACATCCCATTGGCTCCCATAATACACTATAGACAGAGCAAAATTCATCAGTAACTATCTCAGCAAACTAAACTAATAAATACAATGCATCAATTCAGCTTTGCAGTACACGTCAGTAGTAACTGTTGTTCTGCAATGTTGGAATATAAGACAAGTTAGAATATGAATGAGTCAAATTAGGCAAGTGTAGAAAAAAAGATGTCCTCCTGAGCAATTCTGTCCTGTTGTGCATTAATTTGCTGCATTACCAGAATCTGATGACCTAGTTCTTCAGACAGTGTGTTCCAAATCTTGTACTAGGCATCAGAGAAACATTAATACATAAAAGCTTGGCATTTTTTAATTTCAAAAGACAAATCCATGATAAATCCATTCCAGTACGTTCTGATGCACTTAATGACTGACAATTAGCCAACTTTGTTAAGGTGCCTCTACCTTACAATCTTGATGAAAAGTGAGTTTCGGATGAGAGGTCAAAGTGACAGAGTTGACAGGGATCAAATGTTTTTCTAGCACAGATCTCATGTCATAAACCAAATAATAGTGACAGGAATATTGCTCCTGAATATTAACATGATTCAAACATATTACTAAACTTAATCTTAACGAAGAAAACTGGTAGAAACTTTTGACTAAGCTCAAATTTACCGCCCTTAAACTGTGAGCTTATGATTTGAAAGATGCACGCCTTCAGGGCCAAGTGTTTAATAGTTCAAATGCTGATAAATACATTTTAATTGAAGCATAGTAATGATGCACAACAAATTTCCCAAGGAACATTCACATTCAATCCAACAGCACCTTGACATTCAATGGTGCCACCATTACTGAACATCACCAATACCCCCACCCTCGTCAACAACCTGGAGGTTACCACTGACCAAAAACTCAACTGGATTAGCCATACAAATACTGTGGCTGCAAGAGGAGGTCAAAAGTTAGGAATACTGTGTAAGTAACTCACCTCCTGACATCCCAAAGCCTGCCTACCATCTATAAGGCACACATCAGAAGTGTGACTGAATACTCCCCACCTGCCTGAATGGGTGCAGTTCCAAACACATTCAAGAAGCTTTACACCATCCAGGACAAAGCACCCGCTTGAATGGCACACATCCACAAACATTCACTCTCTCTGCCAACGACACTCAGTAGTAGTAGTATGATCTACAAGATGCATTGCAAAAATTCACTGAAGATCTTTAGACAGCACCTTCTAAAGCAAGACACCTCCATCTCGAAGGACAAGGGCAGCAGATACATGGGAACACTACCACTTGTAAGTTCCCCTCCTAGCCACTCACCATCCTGACGTGGAAATATATCACTGTTCCTTCACGGTTGCTGTGTCAAAATCCTGGAATTCCCTCCCGAAGGGCATTCTGAGTCTACCTATACCACATAGACTTCAGTAATTCAAGAAAGCAGCTCATCACCACTTTCTCAAGGGAAACTTGGGATGGGCAATAAATGCTGGCCAGCCATAGTCATACAGCATGAAAACAACTCCTCATTCCAACCAGTCCATGGCAACCATAATACCAAGCTAAGCTAGTCCCACAAGCCTGTGCTTGGCCCATTTCCCTCCAAACATTTCTTCTTCATGTACTTATCCAAATGTCTTTTAAATGTTGTAACCATATCCTCATCCACCACTTCCTCTGAAAGTTCATTCCACACACGAACCACTCTCTGTGTAAAAAAATTTGTCCCCATGTCTTTTTTAAAATCTTTCTCCTGTCACCTTAAAATATGCTGCCCCAACCTCATTTATATCCCTCATGATTTTATAAGCCTCCAAAAGGTCACCCTCAATCTCCTACATTCCAGTGAAAAATGTTCCAGCCTATCCAGCCTCTCCTTGTAACTCAAACCTTCCAATCCTGGCTATATCCTGATACATCTTTTCTGAGCCCTCTCCAGTTTAATAATATCCTTCCTATAACAGGGTGACCAGAACTGGACACAGTACTCCAGAAGAGGCCTCACCAACCTCAACGTGCCATCCCAACTCCTCCACTTAAAAGGTCTGAGCAATAAAGGCAAAAGTGCTAAATGTCTCCTTAACCACCCTGTTTACATGCAACACAAAATTCAAAGAATTATGCACTGAAACTCCTAGGTTTCTCTGTTCTACAACACCACCCGAGGCCCTACTTTTAATTGTAT